ATTGTTGTGTGCTCCAGTAAATGTGGGAGGGGATGTATCCTTTGTCATGTTGCACATCTTGTTTTGAATATTCATACAATGTATGCTGCGCTGCATACTAGCAAAAAGAGATTCAGGCAGTCTTAGTTAAAAATATACTGTAACATTTCAACTGCAGGTTTGTCTTTAGCCATAAGGAAAGTTCTGAGTAAATGGGGATGCTAAGTGTATCACTTCAAGGTCACTTCTCCATTATTTTCTGATATGTCATGAGCAATACAGGATTGCCTGTGGTGGGCTATGGCTTTCACTTTGTACATGCATACCACAAGGGCCCTTGTTTTCTCTAAGCTGATGCAAGGCAGCCAGCTCAATTCATTCTTTATACTTGGGTCACGTTCTGTTTGTTTTAAGGAAAACTTCATCACTTAGCTGAAGAATCAGGACAGATCCAGGAAGATGTAGGTGTAAGTGAATTTGCTGAGAAATCAGTCCTTTAGTGAACGTTTGGAGTCTGTGTTTCTGGTGATTTTATACATATGTGTCCAACCTGCTGGTTCTATGTTTTTGTTGCCCTCTTATGTTTTAATAATAATTATATTATGTGCAGCCCAAGACAGTTTTCTTCTTCACTCAATGCGGCCCAGGCAAGCTATAAGGTTGGACACCCATGGACAATGACCTTTCTCTTAGGAGAAACTAAGAGGTCTGATTGGGGGTTACTGTGTCCCACAGTCAGTTCACCCATTGAACTGATGCGTACTTTGCAGCAGAGTAAAGCAGATTATATGCAGCAATTGTGAGATCTGGATAGAGGATGATGTGGCAGGTATCAGATCAATAGTATAGAATAGGGATTTGGGGGGGCTGGGGGGGGAGGGTACAATTTCCTCTTTTTTTTTTTTCCTTTTTTTTTCCTTTTTATTTCCAGATTCCATTTTACAGGAATCGAAAGCCTTAAATATTGTCTCAAACTCAGACAATGGAGATATGTATATTTTGAGGCCAAGGATTCGTGCAGTCGCTTCTCCAACTGAAATTATTTCGGAAATACTCAGTTAAGTTCTAACTAAAATTCTCTGGTACTACAATTCACTAGAAGGCAGTTCAGAGTAAGAGTGTGCTCAGCTATGTTGTTTTACCTTTCAGAGACTGCCTCTCTGAAGCCTATTCTTTCTGTAATTAGCAGAAACTGTCTTTTTAGGGAAAGGTGTTTTGTGTACTGGTTAAAGTTGATAAGGCCTGAACTATGTTATACTAAGCAGGAACCTATTTTTAGGCTTAACTGTATTTGATTGCAAACTTGTGCTTTTGCACAGTGAATTGAAATGTGAACACAGTGTTTTTGGACAAACACATGCTTCAGATGGTATTTTAATAACTTCGGTGTTTTGTTTTTTAATATACATGTACATGTGTGTTATGGTGAGATTTATCAACTAGACTAATGGTTTTCTAAATGTGTGTTCTCTTTCAAGCCTTTTCTTCTTGTATTCCTAGTTATTTCTAAAACATCTGCACAGGGTTCCTCCATTGACCTGTGTAGTTTACTCAATAATGTTCAGCTTTTGTTTTCTTTTGTCTAGATAATAAGACCTTTCATTTTGAGAAGTAGTTATTTGTCAGTTAGATGGCTTCTTTTCCTCCCAGGCATTTAACAGGCTCTGTGGCACACCATCTACAATAGATTTTTGCCTCTACACTAGCTTTTTCAATTCAGACTTCAAATCAAGACCAGAGTCTTGTATCTTCCCTGTTTAATTTTTTGTGACTTTTGAAAGCCAATTAGACACCCCTCTAGGACCTGTGGAATTAACCAGGGAGGCATCAAATAATTTTTTCTGTCTTGAAATCAGGCTGTTGTCATATGTGGAAAAGGACTTAAAATCAACATTTCTAAAATGCTGCTAGAAAAATGTGTGAAATTTTGCCTGTCACCTTTCCTCAATTTAGTGTTTAAAGGATGGATGTTTGTCATTGCCAGAAGAGCAGTGCAAAAAACCATAAATTCTCTGTCTATGTACTAGATGTTTAATTTTCAGATGTTTTCTGTTTATGAAAACATTTGTGTGAGCAGACGTGTTGAGATGACTTTTCTTTGTTAATAGCTCAGACCAGTGCGTAATTTCTCACTGACTTCAATATGCTTTTCACTATTCAATTAAAGTTGTTTTGAGTATTTTATTATTGTTATTATTATTGAGCAAGATTTGGTTTTTGAAGTGGACCCACACATATTTAAATGATTTTAATGCTCCATTTCATCTCAGTGAGATAACGATGTATGCTTGGAGCCACTCAGAGCATTTTTGTGTGGACCCAACATTTTATTTGCAAGTGGAGTTGTGCTTGAAACACTTTTTTTTTTTTTTTTTTTTTTTTTTTTTTTTTTTTTGTGAACTTCTCTGTGTTGATATGAGAGGAAAGGCCACTAATTGCTCCTTAGGGTCTTCTAGTCAGCCATTGTCAGAGAAACGATTTTTAATAACACTGGATAAACTAGTAATTTTGGCTTCTCTTTTGTGATTATTAAAGTCAGTGAGCTGAAGATTTGAATGTAAGGAAGTTGTGAATCCTGTCTTCTGAAATAATTGTTTTGTGGCTTTGTTGATAAAGTCCATTTGCTGGCTTTAGTATCCTGATGTTCCTTGTAACACTGAGATAGAAGCTGAGCTCCTCCTTAGCCTCCTTGGCTCCCGGATGTCCCAGAAAAATGTCCTAGCAGATAATTAGGTATTCTATAGCACAGTGATGGAAATCAATTTATTTGTTGGATATTGTTTTGCTTGGTATGAATTAATGAGCAGTAATTGGAGTAACACAGTACTTTAACTGCAGTTCAGAAGTGATCATTAATATCTTGCAGTGTATTTTAGAAGCTGCTTATGAATTTTGTACTAAATAACATTGATCCAAATGGAGGAATTGAAGATGGCTGCCCTTATGTGTAACAACTTTTAATTTTGTGCTGCGAGCAATAAACCCAACCTTGACTGTCACATCTACCAAGCAGGCTACCACAGTGTTATTTAGGGAGAATAAATAAAAGGAATTTGGGAGACTGAGAGGTTTTTTTCTTGTAATACATGATGATCTATCTATCTGTCTATCTATCTATCTGTTTAGTTTTATGCTGTCTTCACAGATCAGAGTATTATAGAAACTTTGCATTACAAGTGCTAGCCATAGTAACGGTCTTGACTGTAACAGCTCCTAACTGTTTGCTCCTTTAATTAGGGTATTTCTGCTAGAGATTTCTGAAAAGAGAAAAGAAAGCAGGAGAAAACTTTTGAATTTGCTACCTCTTTAAGGAGTAGAAACTTAAATCTCTGACTCGTAAGGGCTTTGACAGTTTGTATTAGTTTAAATAATAGAATTCCAATACTTCTGCTTCATAGAATCATAGAATCACCAAGGTTGAAAAAGACTTCCAAGATCATCTAGTCCAACCGTCTACCTACTACCAGTATTTCCCCACTAAACCAGGTACCTTAATGCAACATCTAAATGTTGTATTAATGTAATAATAAATGTAAACATCTATTCAAAATGTTTTTTTGAAGACCTCCATCAGTGGTGGTTCAACCACTTCCCTGGGCAGCCTGTTCCAGCACTTGAGCACTCTTTCAGAGAAGAAATATTTCCTAATGCCCGACCTGAACCTCCCCTGGTACAACTTGAGGCCATTCCCTCTGGTCCTATTGCTGTTTATCTGGGAGAAGAGACTGGCTGCAACCTTTCCACAACTTCCTTTCAGGTAGTTGTAGAGAGCAATAATGTCTCTATTAAGCCTTCTCATCCCCAGACTAAACAATCCCAGTTCCCTCAGCCATTTCTTCTGCGGTTTGTGCTCCAGACTCCTCACCAGCTTTGTTGCTCTTTTCTGGACATGCTCCAGGACCTCAGTGCCTTTAGTGTAGAGAGGAACCCAAAACCGAACTTGCTCCTTGCTCCTGCTGGAAACACTATTTCTGATGCAAACCAGGATGCCGTTGGCCTTTTTGGCCACCTGGGCACACTGCTGGCTCATGTTCAGCCAAGCTTCCACCAATACTCCCAGGTCTGCTTCCTCTACACAGTCTTCCAGCCGCTCTGCCCCAAGCCTGTAGCGTTGCCTGGGGTTGTTGTGGCCAAAGTGCAGGACCCGGCACTTGGTCCTGTTGAATGAACTTTGTCCCATTGGCTTCAGCCCAGTGATCCAGCCTATCCAGATCTCTCTGAAGGGCCTTGCTACCCCAGCAGACACTTCCTCACTGCTCAGTGTCATCTGCAAACTTACTTAAGGTCGCTCAATCCCTTTGTCTAGGTCATCAGTAAAGATATTAAACAGGGCAGGCCCCAGTACCAATGCCTGGGGAAAACACCACCTGTGACCTGTCGCTAGCTGGATTTAACTCCATGCAGCACCTCTCTGGGCCTGGTCCTCCAGCCAGTTCTTTACCAACAAAGTTTGTACCTGTCCAAACCACAGGCTGCCAGCTTCTCCAGGAGAAGCTTCCCTGTTGACTTCCACTTTGTGTGGTGGTGTTTGCTAGTTCTGTGAAAGAAAGAGCAAAAGGAAGTTAGCCTTGGCTCTTTGCATTATACAGGCACAGAAGTATCGTAATGGTCTCTAATTTCAGCCTTTGATTGTTTGACTGTATTGTGATTGACAGGTGATAGTACCTGTCAGGTAGGTCAAACTGAATTCTGTATTTGGCAACCTCTTCAGCCGATCCAGGAAGATCTCAATGAAAATTTCATAGTGTTTTTTGGAAGACATGATGAGGTAAAGTGGAGATACCAAATCTGTCCAGAATTAAGATCAAATGCATCACCTGCACAGGATAGAAACAGACAAATTAATCTTAACATTGTGCCAGGAATAAGTAAAATAAAATAGCATTAATTGGTTTTACAGTCTGGACAACTTGTGAACAGAAGCTGATGAAAAATATTGGTTCCTTTTTATTTTCAATAGTAAGAAGTGTTTGTTGCACTTGTCCTCGGTTGAATTACTGTTTGCTGTCTTTCTGTTTTAGGTTATGGACAGACTGGTCCAATGGTTCAGAGAAGTGGATATGACTCCATTGCAGCTGCCATTTCTGGTCTCACACATATCACAGGGCACGAGGTATGGCTCTCAACTTTTAAATTTAGTAGAATCTGTGACATGCTCCATGTACTAATCACATTGTGGTGTTAGCTAGCCTTTGTTAACACCTCTGCTATGTATGCCCTCCACAGTCCAACAAGAGGCCTTATCTCTGTGAAGTCAATGAAATGGTAGTACTATTGCCCATGCAGTATCTCATTCCAGCCTGAGAAAGTAAGTCAGTGCCTGAGAAACAGAAAATGGAAGAAGATTGGTATCCTAAATTTCCAGTGAATAAGTTATCAATACTTAATCTGTGTGACTTTCAGTCACTTCAGTAACTTTAACGGGCAGATTAGCTGCTGGATAATGAAACCACACTTTTGTGGAAAGCCTCTCCTGTGCTTTGATATAACAGATGCATCAGACCTTTAAACGTTGGAATTGTAAAGCCATCTAGATAACTTCTAGCTTTTCAATCACCCTGCCTGAAAATTTGCAGGGACATACCATTAGTGGCTCTGGAAAAGCTTTATGTGCTGCTGTTCCCACTGATATCCAAGATTGTTGGATCATACAGCAGTGCAGGAAGCATTACAGGGGTAGCTTAGTATCTGGATTACACTAATGCATAGAATATGTATCTTTACCTCAGAGAAAAATGGTTTTAGGTACGTGAGTGATGGAAACTGCAAGTGCTATGAGAGCAGTATTACTGAGCGACACTTACGAAGATGGATTTAATTAAAAGATTGTGTTAAGATCTACACTGCAAATTCAGATGTTGGTATCGCCTCCCCTGGAACTGAGGCAGTGTAAGCAAAAATCGTGTAATCATTGCTGGTAACAGTTTCATCTATTCACTAGGGACTTTTAGCAGTTAATTCAAATCTAGTTATTCTCTGGCATGATTAAAATAAACATGCTAAAACATGCCTTATTATTGATTTTCCTTTTGCAGTTGGTCATATATTTTATCAGTTTCTGAATAAAGCATTTTTTGTTGTAGAGAGGCCAGTTTCAAAGACTTGAGTGGTCAGTAGCTCTGAAGATGCATGTGCCTTTTGTTATAGTGAAATTTGACAAAAATAGTTTTAAAATCATACTGTATGGTTGCTTGAAAATTTACTATTTTCAACTAAAACTCCCATGTCCTACATTTGTGCATGTAATTGAGTATTTCTGAATTCTAAATAGAGCCAGCTATGAAAAAATGTAGCAAAAGCTTATTTCAGGCAATATGTGGAGAAATGACCAAAGTAAAGAAGAAAAAAGCATTTTGCTCACTTTTGTGGCTTTTTTTTTTTTTTTTTTTTAAATTAAACTATTATTTTTTGCCTAATAACAAGAATTTGTACTTGAAGTCCTTAAAGCAACATGTTCCTTTGGAGCATACCCTAGTAAACTAGATTACAATTTTTCTTTCTTTCTTTTTTTTTTTTTTACAGTAAATTGAAAATGTGTTTAAAACTGATGAAGAAAGAAAGAAAAGTTATGATGTTTTTGTGTTGTCTAGCAGTAGCTGTACTTAATCAGCATAATAATATCAGTATAACAGTGCTCTGCAGAAACTTCTTTTAATAGACAAACTGAGTAGTGTGCTTGCAGTGCCTTAAAGCTCTTAGCTGTAGTAGACAAACTACAAAGTCGGGGAGCAGAAAAAAGACATCTATGTACATCAGTGAGTTGCTTAATTTTAAGGTACATTAATGTGTGGATAGATTGGTCTGAAAGTAATACTTCTTATTTATTTCCATGGAAATTACACCGGATACAAAGAGCAAAATGACTCTGCTTGACAGAGCAAATTCTCAGCTACAAAGCAGTATTTTTCAACACGGTCACCACCATTAGCTACTCATTTTTGCCAGCAGTGAACAAGAGCCTGCATGCCATGCTTCTCAAAATCTGCACCAATGGAGGTGGCCCACTGTCAGTTCTGCCACTGCTGAAACGTTCCACCCAACACCTCATTGTGCTCACATCCACTGTTTGCTCTCCACAAACATTCAGGAAGCATCAGTGAATGCCATTGGATGCAATTTTTTCCGCACGGAGGAATTCAGTGACAGAGTTTTGCTTTGCATGCACTTCTGCGTCAGGCGTCATTTTGTCAGACTGCCTCTGCTGCCACCTGTTTATGACAACAAAATGTAACAGAATATTTGCAGGAAGGGTCAACCTCTGCTGCCATGCCACCAACATCCACCTCTGACATCGTGGGCCATCATACTAGGATAAGAGGCAGTACTTTCATGGCAGCTCTTGTATTTACAGCACCACACAAAGCATTTTAACAATAGAACAGTAAAATTATGTTCTGTACTTGACATTTCTAAAATTGATAGAATTCATAGCAATAAGGACTGCGTTTTAGAGAAATTAAATACTGCAAATTTTGCTCTATTTCAACCATCTGGCTACTGATTTAATTTCTAAGACAGTTTGCTGCTGCTGTTGACTTGCTTTTATTGGATACTGAGCAGCTGTGCTTCTATACAGTAACTCTCAGTATTATACTATGAAATCTCTGTATTACTAGCACAGGAATTTGAGTAAAGCTTAAACCTTCATTAATTTGATCACGCACGTAACATTTCCTGCAATACTGTGTATAACACTTACTTTGAGGCAGTAGATCACAGTGGAAATGTTTATTTTTTTCCAAGTTATATTTTAGGTAGTGAAATAAATAAAAATGTGATATGAAAGTGGAAAGGGCCAAAAGTACACAGTAATATCACGTTTAACACATGGAATAGAATTGTTGAATGGAGTGCAAGATTTGTGCATTTTTCATCTGATTTTTCTGAGAAATGAGAAAAGATTCCGACGTGAGGAAATTTTGAGAATCTTGCCTTTTTTCCTTTTTTCCTAAGAAGTTACTGTAATTGAAATCACTTGATGCTGGCTGTTTTGAAAGGCTTTCAAGTAAAGTTCTCTTGTGAACCTTGAAATCGAACTGTAGCTTTTGCAATATTGAAGAGTTAAAGGCACAAACAGCTGTACTTGTGTTTTTGTTGACTGAACCATATTTATCTACTGTAGAATGCTATCTTTAAATAGTGTTTTTATGTGCAGATAAGGAAATCTGGATGGAGTTCCAACTCATACATCTGTACTCGATTATTTCTGTATCAGAAATGCTGTGACACCTGTGGAATTTGAGATTCTAGTGTGTATGAAAACTTCAAACCCATTTTATATAAATCTGTACCAGAAATTCATTTTGAAATGAAAGTTGCTGCTTCGGGCCAGATTCAGTTAATTTTATTTTATTTTTTTTTAACTGTAAATTAAAATATGAAAAAGGACTGAGTTCATACCGATGACAATTTTATTGTCCTTAAAGACATAATTTATAATTTATTATAAATGAATTATTATTCCAGGGCATAAATTATGTTCTGGAAGACATAACTTTATTGGTTAACCGTCACATTCAAGTTTCTTATTTGATGAACAGAAAGCTTTTGCTTTAACATATTCAGCGTCAAATGAATATTGCTTTGAAAATGTCATGAAACTCATGGGGGCAATAATTTGAACTTAAATAAAAACAGCTTGGATACAAGTGCCCTTTACATCTCCAAGTGGATCACTGCATTCAGTGCTAGGTAGCTTTATGGTGCTGCGGCGTGTTCAGTAAGCATTTTTTGTTGTTGAAGCAGCATTTTTTATTTTACTGGACACTAGACAGCAAAACATGATTAGAATCTACAGTACCAGAGGGGCCATTCTTCAGCTTAAAAACAAATGACTACAAAAGAGTACACGTAGTATATTGTTCAGAGCTGTTGAAAAAAAATATAGCCCTTACTGGTTAATATTAGCTGCAGCAAGTTATTTCCATTGTGTAAGGACTACTGGACTTTTATTAATACTTTTACAGTGCATGTCATTTCAAACCAATTTCCAGTTATAGCGGATCACTTTTTGTAGCACTGATGTAAAACTGGGAAGAAAAGTTATGTCAAAGGGCAAAAAAAAAAAAAAAAAAAAAAAATCAGGAAAGGAATCTTCCAGAATACATTGAGGCTATCATGAATAAAAGTGTAAACTAGTGGCAAGTTTGCAACAGCAAGGCACTGGAGTGAACTTCTGTATGTTCAAGCACTTTATGTGAAGCTTCACTGTTCACATAAAGCAGCTTCCTATCTCTTGTTCCACAGGACAGATATGAAAATGTAAATGAATCTATTTCACATTAGTTAGAGAATGCATCCTGTCACAGAAAGGCACAGGTGGACATTAGAAGCTGATTTAGGGGAGGAGGGGGATGATAGTTGCTGAACTATCTTAATAGGCACACTGAGGAAGAGTGGAAATTGTGCAAACTGCTGCAGAAACATGTCTGCTATGTTAAAAATAACATAGCAATATAGTAGTTTGACTTCTTAAGTATAGGAGTGTTCCGTAAGAGGAAACTGTGAAAATATGTGCTGTGGAAATCCTTAGACCTTTGGCTTCTGTTTTGTTGTCTCTAGCAGTATCTCTGTCCTCTGAGCATTTGTGTGTTGAAGTATTGATCAGAATAGAGCAAGAAGTAGTGTAGAAAGTAATTTACAGTTTACAGGCTTTGCAACATCTTGATGCATGGGATTGTGTAAATACTGCAAGAATACCTCTTTTTCAAGGGTAGCCTTTATGTTTTGGTTCACTCAAAGATGCTTTTATCTATTGTTGCTTGTGATGAGGAAACATGTAAACGCTTTTTATGATAAGAATTATGTGGCATGTACTAAAACAAACTAATGCTTTGCTTATTCCTTCTTCTTCCTTTTCCTTTTTTTTTCTATTTGCTTTCTGTTTGTTTTTATTTCACTTGGAGTGTTGCCTTCCTTTTCTTTAGGGTGGTGAACCAGTTAGAGTAGGAGTAGCCATGACAGATCTTGCTACTGGCTTGTATACGTGTGGAGCAATTATGGCTGGCTTGCTTCAGAGGCATAAGACGGGGAAAGGAATGCACATTGACTGCAATCTCTTGTCATCTCAGGTAAGAATTTAAAAAGCAAACAAACTACTTTTAGTTGTTAAGATGTTTGAACTGAAATCCGATATTTTGATATAAATTAATGCAAATTAATAAGTATAATTTATGACAACGATACTAATGAAAATAAATTGTGTCAGTGACAACTTCCTCATTATGCCACTCTGGCAGTGCCCATTTCATACGACATGGTTATAGTTGTTACAGCAGTATGTCTGTTTTCCAATTTTTAGAGAAGACCTCCATGTTCTTTTAAAACAGTTTAATCAAGGCTTTGATCATGCAGAGATAGCAAGCAGTTGTAGTAGGTGGTTGAAGAAAGACGAGTGTAAATGGTGAAACCACCATTGGAAGGGAGGACTTGGCACTGGGCCATGAAACCAGCAGAGTGATTGAATGGCTTGAACAAAATTGTCAAGTAGTCAAGGATCACTGAAATATAAAAGTAATCTAATCTGAGAAGTCTGCCTACTGACTCTGGAAATTAGGGAATAAAATAAGTGTGAATATGCAGTATTTTCTCTAGACCGCTGTAGAGAAATCTCATCAAAATTGGAAAGACAGAGACGTGATGACAGCTGTATCATATACAACTAATCATGAGAACTTGAAATTGCCATTTGAACATCAGTTATGTCATGATTCTTTCTTCTGCTGTTGTTTGGCTTTTTAATGGACTCCTCTGGATTACTATTTGGCATTTTATCAAATGCTGGAAGTAGAAAGAAATGAGGCTATGTGTTGGTGCAACTCCTAATTCATCCTTTGTCAGCTTTGTCAGCACAGTTGCCCTTGGAATTATTTTGTTTAAGGCAGCTTTGGCTGTGCAAAAAAAAAAAAGCGCTCTGTCTTTGTGATATTTCACGTTATCCTTTATGCCACTCATTGGCATATAAATGACAGGGAATGAACACTCAGATATCTGTGTGTTCACAAAACAAAGTGAACAAAGTGTGCATGATATGTGATTTTTGGCCCTTATGTGCTTAGCTGAAGAAGTACAAAATGGTGAAGAGATGTTTATATATATACTTTTTATATATTATTTTATTCTGTACTTGTTATTAAATTGTATTTATATAAAAGTTATTAAAGAGTAATTCCACACATGGCATTCTAATCGCCAAATAAATGTTTCTTTTTTTCCCCTCGAAGTTGGGTGCACTAAACTGAAATACGTTGATATTTTGTAATAGACTACACTTATAAATTGTTAATCAGAAAATACGTATTTTGTATAAGATAACCTTACCCTGGTCCAAAATTTGCTCTAGGATATTCGCCTAAGACTTTAAGGAGAACATTTATTTAATTGGAGAAAATTATTTTTGGATGAGATTTTGGGATAGGAAACAAACCAATGTGATCAATCCCATTGAAAACATGTTAAAATAGATGTAGAAAAATGCAGCTGACAGACAAGTCTCCCTGGGAACATCTGGAGTTCTAGTTATCCTGGTTTGTTTTCTTCTTTTTCTTCTTCTTTTAAAAAAAAACAAAAACTATTTTTACTTGTAAATCTTGAAAGGTCAGTGTCATCAAAGATGAGAAAAGAACCAGTAGAAAAAAATCTAAGTAATCAGTGTAAGAAAAATTGCTCTCAATGCTTCCGTTGGTAATATTTTAGTTGGTAATATTTTAATAATGCTTCTGTTGGTAATATTTTAATAATTCTACCAATTACTGTGGTAGAATCGGGTTGTTCAGAGAGGTTATGGTTTTACATACCAAGCTGAGATATCTAAGGCAAGGTCTTCCTTGTGTGTTGAGTCTTTAAAAGAGTGAGTCTTTGGAATCTCTCACAGATACCATCAAAACAAGCAACCTGAAACTGTAGATTTTTAGTTTGCTCTTGTTGATGTTGATTGTGTGATCTCATTGCCAAAGAAATGCTGCTTCTCCTTCAGTGTGAGTTTCACTGGAGTATGGTCATTTTTAGTGAGAAAAAATCTTTTTTCCTGTGTGTTGAGCGAAAGTGCTGCTGTAATGTCCTGCTGTTCAATTAGGAGAGCAGGGACGTATATGAAACTTGTTGCTTCCGTCAGTGTTTCATGCACTGAGCTAATATGCTTATCCTTTTGTCCATCCTTTCACCTGAACTGGGAATTCTGACTCAAGACTACATATATAAATATATATATATATGAGCGTATATGAACATATAAAGTATCTTATAAATAATACCTGTCTATAAATAATATCTTTCTATAATAAGTGTATAATATATTCCTTGAGCATTATTAAGGGCTTTCAGAAGTCGTTGTTGCTGCCTTCCACTACTTAAAGGGAGCCTATGGGAAAGCAGGAGACTGTTAGGGAGGGTAGTGATAGGACAAGAGGTAATGGCTTTAAATTTAGATTAGGTATGAGGAAGAAATTATTCACTGGTGGTGAGGCATTGGAGCAGGCTGCCCAGAGAAGTTATGGATGCCCCATCTCTGGAAGTATTGAATGTCAGGCTGGATGGTGCTCTGGGCAGCCTGATCTAGCTGGGGGTGAAGGGGGAAGGGGAAAAAAAGAAGAAAGAAAAAGAGAAAAACAACCTCCAGGAGTTAAAGTTCTTAAATAGATTGAAATCCCTGAACAACATTTGGATAATTTTATAGGAAAAGCCCTAAGTATGTGCACGACCACTTGTGTCTCTGCTGTCACTTTTCTACATGCTTTATAGAAAGGCAAGTGGCTTTCTTTTTTTTTTTTGTAGGGTGTTGCTTTTGATGCTAATTTTCTGCACAGATATGCTAATGACAAAGGGCATGAAGTGAATTCAGCTATCAGTTACGCTTTTTAAAGAACTTTCCCTCTGAGTGGCAAGTTTGTTCGTTAATTTTCTGGTTCGTACAGAAAAAGTATCTGATAAATGAAATCCCGGTCTCTTAAAATTATTAATGTTAGAATATCTTAAAAAGACCTTTATTTCAAATGTTACATGTCAGACATTTTTGTCCAATTGCTCTATGCCAGTCTGTGACTATAAAAGAAGATTTCTTTTCTGTGCAGCAAAACAGAATTCTAGAATTTTACTGAGGAGATGCAGTGACCGCTGTGATGCGGTTCTGCAGTGAGCACTAACTTTCTGTATCTATCATCTATAAACTTTTAACCCGTGTCATACAATTCCTTTGAAACTTTTGACTTTCAGATGATTTACAGTTGTCAGCTCCAGACCTTTCAGCGTCAGCATCTAAATGGTGTCCTTTAGATGATGCTAGTAAATAAGAAGGAAGTGGGTTTTGGATTTGGTTCCAATTATGCAATTGCGCCTTTTCTTCTGTTGTGGCTTGAAAAAAAAAAAAATCTCTTGGAAGTTTTAATATCCTTCCTGTATTTAATTGCAACCAGGCTCTAACAAATACTGTAATAAGTTGGTTTCTCTTGGACTGACAATATGCAAGAAGTATTTTACATTTAACTTTTCTGCAGTTTTGGAGCGCGTTGTTTTTGCAGATTCCACAAACAGGATAATGCAATTAATATTGTTTGTGTTATATAATTGTTCATCAGACATTTCTGTGCTTCTGATTATTAGGTTTTAATTTGAATTTTTTAAAGGAAACTTCATCTTCAAATTTTAAAGTGACCCTAGAAAATTGGCATGAGTTATTTTCTACACTGTATCTCTAGCTCTAGTTTGACAGTTTGTTCAGAAAACACTGAGGTTTAGAATCTAGTAGTTTTTGGGCTTCTGGATCTCTTTTTCCCAAAATGCATCTGTTTAAGGTATATATATATTTCAAGTGCTTAGAGTGGTCTCCATTAAAAGTTTTCGTGACATGTCTTTTACAAACTGCTAGTTGTATTTGAAACTGACACTGATTATATGCTGCCTGGAGGTCACATATGGCATCATACAGCAGTAAGCTGTATGAGAAATTGCAGTTGTGGAACTCAAACACTGTGCAGGTATCTTGGCAGTAATGCATTGCTTTTCTACCTGCTAAGTTATAAGTTCTCTGAATACATAAATGTATAGGAACTGTGGAGTCACAGCCTGAACCACTGATTGAGCACCTGGAAGAAAAGAACCAGTCAGCCCTGGGAGCACAGATGGAGGTAATTCACCTGTGTGATTGGAAGGGGTGGAGTCTGTCTCCACCTCTCTTGAACCTCATTTAAGGGCTGACTGAGGCTAGGGGAGGATCCCTTGCTGGAGTTTCTTCATTTGTGGAGTTTTTCTGCAAGCCTAGATTTTTTGGAGATGGGTGAGCATTCTTCTTTTTATAACACCTTCTCATTGTACAGGTCTTGCTGCTCTTACAATAAGGGAAATCTGTTTTACTAGAGGTCATTGTTTCTGGTGATTTCTGGAGCCATCAATAGGGCTCTTACACAGTTGTCTTGTTTTGGCTGTGATTTAAGTGAAGAGTTCTTTATTACGAGCTTAGAGAATGTTATCTTGCAAAACAGTGTTCTGTCATGTAAGAAAAGTGGGTGTGCTTTGTATGGAGACGTTCTTTTTCACTATGCAGCTCTGATATGGAAATATAACCAAGTCTAAATTAACATGACTGTCTCTTTTGCATCAGGCGCTTTTCTTGGCTATTATTCTCTAAAATTTCAATTGAAGATCTCAGCTTAATAAAGAGCAGACATTATCTCTCAGAGTTTTAAGTAGCCAGAATGTCACTGAAGTAGTCCTGGGGACCATAGTAATATGACAGTAACTCTATTTCATATTGGCCTCTTTGGAATGTGTTGTGACTTCTAATTAGTTGTTGGAGCGTTGTACTCCAATTGGTTTTCAGATTTGATGGCTTTCTTTGCTCTGTAAACAGAATTCTTAGCCAGATTGCAAGGGAATCTTCTTCTTCATTTGCTACTTGACAGTGAAGTCTTCATATTTTTGTCTTTGCTGCAATTATTTATTGTGCTAATGAAATGAAGTCTGAATGTCTTGCAGCTTCATTTTCCTGAGTTGTAAATTAGGACTAGGAGGTGCATACAAAAAAATGCCCCTTTAGTACATAGAAAAGATAGAAACAACTATCTGGAATGGGTAAGGG